GAGCTACTCTAATCAAATAGTGGGATTTGACCGATGCATCCAAAACGTATAGTCAACACCACCCACTGCCAACTCTTGAGCTACTCTAATCAAATAGTGGGATTTGACCGATGCATCCAAAACGTATAGTCAACACCACCCACTGCCAACTCTTGAGCTACTCTAATCAAATAGTGGGATTTGACCGATGCATCCAAAACGTATAGTCAACACCACCCACTGCTCCAAGTGCAGGGCACGATTATTATTATTACTTTTAGCGATAACTGACTGAGAACCACTTAGGTTTGTTGTTAGGGCCAGCACTAGGGTCCCTAGGCAGAAATTAAGGTCGTGCCCCTACTCCAACTGAGTTTGATAATCGTTACTGTTCATTGTTGCACTGTTAACTACGGTGAACCTAATCATTCAAGAACAGCATGTAATAATAATTTAACTAGGATTTGATCGCATTTATCCTCCATCATAGCAGTCACTCCAGACTTTATAAATTGTATTTTTTTTATCCAACTTACGTAGTTTAAGTCAGCAATACCACACCATAACCCTTAATCTATATTGTGTTTATGTAGCTTACACACATACCCATTGCGCAACTCAGTAGTTTATCATTAGCTCCACTGAAACTTCGAACCCTCGATAAAGTACAGTTGTAACATTACTAGATGTCGAAACGCCTCTTTTTATTTAGTGTCTACTAGTTTTACAGGATTTAGCACTGGCACTATAACGTCACATATTGCTTGGCTTTAATTTAAAGCTACAATTTTACAAATATAAATGAAAAATAATAAAAAATCTAGGTAAATAAAAATTTGTCATAATAAAAATATATCGGATCAGAAATTATAACTAGGACTCTATTCTATAAAATACAGTAGTTGAACGTTAAAATGTAACTTTTCGACCACGTTGTTATACTGTAGCGATCTTGGTGTTTAATACTACTATTCAAATGGGCTGTTCCTAGGTTTGTTCATCGTATCTAGTCTCTTCTTCTACATACAAAGATAGTACTTTTATGCATACACTTTATGCTACCTACCAAACATTCTAATTAACTTCACACAAGTTTAATAATGAATATCATCCTCGTAACAAACCACGCACTGCCTCTAAATTTCCTTTCGCTATCTGTCTACCAGTTCAAGGGTTCTCAAAGTTAATAGTTTGTTTGTTTGTTTTGAAT